ATGCACTTCAGAGTTGATTTTGCTACAGTGGGGATTTTATGGAGCTACTTTCAGTTCCCTTAATTGTCAAGTTTATAGCCAATAGATTATAAACATTTAGGTGAAAGATCTAAAATTGTAATTAGTACTGGTGAACCTTCCTAAATTATGTGACTTTCAGACAACTCATCTGATGGATTTGATCACTGAATTCCCTGACTTCATGGTTTTAATAGCATCTGGACCTAGGGGTCCATAGGTAGGGTAAGGAGGTAGTTGATGTGAAATTGAGTATGTATATGCATTTCTCTCTGTAGAAGGGCCCTACTTTTCATTCTCAAAGGAGTCCTTAACTCAGAAGAAGTTAAAAAAAACCCTCAAAAGTTAAATACCACTGACATGAGCCACTGTGTGGTTATAGAACCAAAGAGCCTCTGAATAGATAGGCAATTTTTGCCCTTATGGACTGAATTGTGTCCCTCCCCAAAACTAATATGTTGAAGAACCCCTGTATCTCAGAATGTGACTTCATATTGAGAGAATCAACTACAAGGCAACTCAGTTAAAATGAAGTCCTTAGGGTGGGCCCTAATCCAATATGACTAGTGTCCTTCTAGTTGATAGGACATTTGGACAAAGGGAAGAACATGTAAAGACACAGGAAGTTGGTCCTCAGAAGGATCCAACTCAGCTAACACCATGATCTCAGACTTGTAGCCTCCAGAACTGTGAGAAGATAAATTTGTTGTTTGAACCCTCTGGTATGTGTATCCATTCTGGCAATTCTAGCAAAATTATATGGATGCTTAGTATATTCGTTTCAGATTGCAAACAAATGGTAAGGAAAAACTGAAAAGGCTTTTTGCAGGTAGAAAGTCTCTAGCACTCATATTTCTTTTTCATATAAAAGGTCATAAATATTAAAAATTTAAATATTATTCACCTGCTTAAATAATGCATTCCTAAGAAAATGTGAAGAACATAAAAATTATTTTTTTCTCAACTCTCTAAGAAACAGGGAAAGAGCAGAATTGCAAATTACGAACCACAATCTTATATCCCACACTTCCTTCTTTATCTCTTATTGTGGGTCTCCTCTGAGCTGTGTCGAAAAAAACATACAATGTTTAAAATGTTATTTTTTTAAACAAGGCAGTAGGTGGTTATATTTTTTAATAATTTTTTAATGTTTTTATTTATTTCTAGGAGAGAGATAGAGAGACAACATGAGCAGGGGAGGGTCAGAGAGAGAGGGAGTCACAGACTCTGAAACAAGCTCCAGGCTCTGAGCTGGCAGTCAGCACAGAGCCGGACGTGGGGCTCGAACCCACGAACCGCGAGACCATGACCTAAGCAAAAGTCGGATGCTTAACCGACTAAGCCACCCAGGCGCCCCAGTAGGTGGTTATTAAAAAATAAATTTTTCAATGCAGGTAAGCAGAGATAAACAAAACTTCCCACAACCCAGAAGTACCCACTTCAGTAATACTTGTTAATATAATTGAATTGCTGCTAAGTCTCATCATAATAGTCTCCATAAAACTGTAAAATAATGTTGCTTTCTCCAAATAAACAAACTCATAATATAGATTATTAAATAATATGTGAAATGTGACCCTGTCAAAATTAATTTGAAAAATTAATGAATGCCCATCAATGAAAAATGTGAACAATAATGTATTACAGACATTATATATTTTTTAATGTTTATTTATTTTTGAGAGAGAGAGAGCACAAGTAGGGAAGGGGCAGAGATAGAGGGAGGCAGAGGACCTGAAGTGGGCTCTGTAGTGACAGAGCTCTGTAGAGCCGAATGTGCGGCTCGAACTCAGAAACCATGAGATCATGACCTGAGCAGAAGTCGGACACTTAACAAACTGAGCCACCTAGGTGCCCCCAGAGATTATATTTTATCAAACAAAAGTTACATAACATTGCATCCAAATTAAGATACATTATTATTTACATTCGTGACAGAAATAACAATCACATTAGTTCTTAATTATTACTTCAATAACTAATCTCACATATGCATTAAGCTTTACTGACCAAAGAAAGTATGAGACAGCTCAGACAATGGCAAGCAGCACTATCATTACTAACACAGCACATATAAAAACTTGTAGGCATGTGTTTCAGTCTGTGACTCCCTCTCTCTCTGACCCTCCCCTGCTCACGCTGTCTCTCTCTCTCCTAGAAATAAATTAATTTAAAAAAAGATTAAAAAAAAAAAACCTTGTAGGCATGAAGCACACATACGCTCAGGAAATAACTAGGTAGTATCTAAGAAATGGAGAAAACAAAATAACTTTTAAAAGGAAATGAAATTATTTAATATTATTAAAAGGGAAATGAGTCAAGAAAAACTAGCAGTAACCTGAAAGAGGGAAATGGAAAAACCAACAAAATGTTCCTAATTTTGAAATATTAGAAATAATCTCCTAACAGGATTAGGAGGAACTTAACGGAGGACCATGGGGGAGAAGAATGGGGAAAATAGTGGGGGAGAGAGAGGAAGGCAAACCATGAGAGGCTCTTGAATGCCAAGAAAAAAATGAGGGCAGATGGGGGGGGGAGGGAAAGGGGGGTGATGGGCATGGAGGAGGGCACTTGTGGGGATGAGCACTGGGTGTTATATGGAAACCAACTTCACACTAAACTATTAAAATAAATAAATAAATAATTCCTTCTAACAAGTAAAAAAGAAAAGAAAAGAAAGAATCTCCTAAGGAAAATTATATAAGAGCTACAACTCAAAACTGGAAATCTTATGGAATTATTGTCTTCTAATGCTATTTTCTGAAATTATTCTAATTTTTCCGGCATTTCTGAATTGTTCCTTCATATGCCTCTGCGTTGAGGAGACTGGTATAGCACTCTGCTTTGAAACTAGGTAACTCTGATCTATTTTTACTACAATATACATTTTAGATTTCCCCAGACATTTTTTTCTTTTGTAAAATTTTTTTTAATTGGGGATGAGAGCATCAAAAGATGTCCCAATGGAACACTTGAGAGTGAAACATTCTTCCTTGTCTCCACTGAGTAACAGCAGCCCTATTGTCTCTCGATGATCAGGTGTCAGTGTGGTGACACCTTTCCTTACCTGTCAGTCACAGTGATTGGAAAAGAAGATTAAAGACTTGTTCTATGAGCTAGCCAAATGTTTTCTGAAGCCACAGTAATCAAAACAGTGTTGAATTTGCTCCCTTACTAGGAATAGATAGAATTAGGCAGTCATTTCACTGGAAGTCCATAGTGAAGTTCAGAAAGAGTCCAAATATAAAAAAATTATTTAATATAGGATAAAGAAGGCATTTTAAATCAATGAGGAAAAGATATGATATGTGTCAGGGTAATCTGACCATGTGAGGAAAAAAAGTCTGTTTCACCCAGGGCTAATATTCAGCAAGAGTTACCGGTGTGGCTATACTCAGTATTTAAGGCTGGCATTCACTCGGATTGGTCAGCACCCATAGCAGGCTGGCTGTTAAACATTTTGAATATCACTCTAGGTTCATCTCTCCACACCTAATGGAATTAAGATGGAAAAACTTAAAATGAAACTTTGAAAGCGTGGGAAAATTGGGACGTCTGGGTGGCTCAGTCAGGTAGGCTTTGGACTTCAGCTCAGGTCATGATCTCACAGTTTGTGGGTTTGAGCCCTGCATTGGTCTCTGTGCTGACAGCTCAGAGACTGAAGCCTACTTTGGATTCTGTGTCTCCCTCTCTCTCTGCCCATTCCCTACTCAAGCTCTGTTTCTCTCTGTCTCTCAAAAATAAACATTGAAAAATATTTTTAAAAATGAAATAAAAGCTTGGGAAAATATAATTAAATATTTATATAGTATCAGATGAAAGACTTTCAAAGCATGCCCTCAAGAGCAAACAACATTTTAAAAAGGATTGAAATTTTGATAAAATAAAAATTTTAAACTCTTTAGGCTTTATAAGAGATGAAAAATAAAAAGGCAAACAGCAATTTGAGACAAATCTTTCTGACATATATGAGAGAAATGATTTTGCCCTTAATATATAAAGAGCTACTACAAATCAATTTTTCAAGTCTAACACCCCAATAGGAAACAATAGGCTAAAGGTATGACTTCATTAGGAGAGTACATGTTAATAGATGAGAATATATAAACAAATGTTAAACCTCTCTAGTCATCATAGAAAATCAAATTAAGACAATTAAATACAACTTTTAACTATCAAGTTAACATTTTTTAAAATAATAATAATTATCTTTTTTTTTTTTTTTTGAGAGAGAAAGATAGAGAGAGCTTGAGGCAGGGGAGAGGGGCAGAGGTGAGAGAGAGAATCTTAGGCAGACTTCACGCTCAGCTCAGAGCCAGACACAGGGCTCGATCCCATGACGATGGGATCATGACCAGAGCTGAAATCAAGAGTCAGTCACTCAAACAACTGAGTCACCCAGGTACCCCAGCACAGCTTCTTTTAAATATGATAAGAACCAATGTTGATGAGGGTTCAGAAAATTGGGAACTCCCATTCACAGCTGGTAGGAGATTAAAAATGTCCTAATCTTTCTGAAAGTTAATTTATAAATATGTGCTTTAAATATCTCCAAAAAGTACATCATTTTAGGTACTAAAAAATCTACTTCTGGCTATTTATCCAAGGATATTGCTTGTTGTAGGATGTATGTATCAGAGTATTTATATCACCATTGGTAATTAAAGTCAAAAACAAACACTGGAACCTACTAAACTTCTAATAAAAAGAGATTAAACAAATACATACCTACTTATAAGAATATATTATAAAATATTATATTTTCCCTGTCTTATACAATGATTATATATTAATTAGGTATGTTTTTTTAATTTTTTGGATAAAAATGAAAACTTTTCATTGAGGCTTTTCTAGTGGTAAAACTTCTTTCCAAATCACACAGAGAGAGAAAAATATAATTAAAGTTTGTGCTTTAGCAAGATTCCCATGAATTAAGGTTTTTACTATAAATAAAAATATAGTCAATAATAAGTCATTAATACCTGTCAGGCAAAATCAAGTCCAGACCCTGTGAATGCAGGGAGATTTCGTGCTTCAGAGGTTTGGTAATGAGATGTGAGGACTTCCACTTCCAGAGACACTCCGTGGATCCACCCCTCATTGGTAATTTGAAGAAGACACCACAGCCACATCTGTGTAATGACACAAACATTACTTTCCAAAGTGGATCCTATTAAACAAGTTAAACCTGAAGAGATGGCATGCCCACAAGATTCAGAAGGTGGAAGAGAGGATGCAGATATCTTTCCTTCTCTGGCAGTATTGGCAGATGGATATGTGACTTTCCTGGATATGCCTTTCCAACAACCTCTTTGCTTTTCTGTCACTTCAGCCACTCACTGCTGAGAGAAGCTGTGAGGCCACCGGCCACCTTTCCTGAAGTGGGTGGGAGGGATTCTAGGTGGGAGCGGCTCTTCACTTATTCGTGGCAGTGAACCTGGAGCTAGTGGTAGTATCCACAATTTCCACTCCTCCAGCTTTTCCCATGGCTTCATAAGCACCACAATTAAATCTCTTCATGTTTTAAATACCCACAGTGGCTTTGTTTTCCTGACTGAATCCTGATACAGCCTGGTTATGGCCTAAGAGACTAATGTCATTTCCGTGCAATGAAATTGCAGAAATGAAAGGACATGGGAAATCCCAGAATTTTATCTGAGATGGCTTTAGACATTCTTTCTTAGGAGGCTTCATCATAATTCTGTAATTGATTCAGAAAGGACTTGGGACAAAGAGGCTCACAGAAAATCACTTACAGAGAAGGAAAATGGGCATATATATATATGAACAGAATAGATTTTTCTTAGACATTCCACGCCTGGGAGTAGAATGCCATTGCAGACACCATTCAGAGAAGAACAAAATCAAGTCAAAGTCAATACAAGCATTGCAGGTTAATTTCACAGGGAAATGTTCCTAAAATACCAGCTTCCTTCTGGTCTATGAAATCTCATGCTTTCCTGCTCTTTCATGGCTCTTTTCCAAAGGATTTGCACCTGCCCCAGTCAATCCAAAAATCGATTTCCTTATATTCCTTTTCCATCCACTCATCTTAACATCTTAGCATTTATTTAAATGTCCTAAGTGTAGGGGAACCTAGGTGGTTCAGTTGGTTGAGCATCAGATTCTTGATTTCGGCTCAGGTTGTCATCTCACCATTCATGAGATCAAGCCCGGCATCAGGCTCTTTGCTGACAGCTCAGAGCCTGATGGGGATTCTCTCTTTCCCTCTCTTTAGCTCTGCCTCTCTCTCTCTCTGTCTCTCTCTCTCTCTTTCTCTTTCTCAAAAATAGATAAAGTTTAAAATGTCCTAAGTGTAATGGAGGCTGGACATACCAAAAACCCCATCCAACACTGTCAAGGAAAAATATATGCCATAATACTTAAATTTTCTGATAAACTACAATAGCAATTTTTTCCCAGCTGTACTGAGATATAACTAGCACATAACATTATATAAGTTAAAGGTATACAACATGATGATTTGATCCTTGTATATTGTGAAATGCTTACCACAATCATTTTAGTTAACACATCCATCATCTCACACAATTATCTGTGTGTGTATGAGTGTGTGTGTGTGTTGAGAAAATTTAAAATCTCCTCTCATATAATATAAATGTAATATATATATACAGATACATAATCTCACATCTCATATCTTCTTTATCCATTAAGCCAATGATTGACACTTAGATTGTTTCCATAGCCTGGCTATTGTGAATGATGCTGCAATGAATAGGGGAGTGCAGATAGCTTTTCGAGATCCTGATTTTACTTCCTTTGGGTACATACCCAGAAATGGGACTACTGGATCATCTAGTAGTTCTATTTTATTAATTTTTTAATGTTTTTTAAAATTTATTTTTGAGAGTCAGAGAGAGACAGCGTGAGCAGGGAAGGATCAGAGAGAGAGGGAGTCACAGAATCCAAAGACAGGCTCCAGGCTCTGAGCTACCTGTCAGCACAGAGCCCGACACAGGGCTTGAACCCACGAACCTTGAGATCATGACCTGAGCTGAAGTCAGATGCTTAACCGACTGAGCCACCCAGGCAGCTCTAGTAGTTCTATTTAAATCTTCTGAGAAACTTTCACAGTTTTCCACAATGGTTGGACTAATTTACGTCCCTACCGACAGTGCACCAAGGTTCCCTTTTTTCTCTACATATTCCCATTAGTACCTATTCTTGTCTTTTTTATAATAGCCAGAATAGTAATGTTTTTCCTTCTAAGCATTTTGATGAAAATATAAAAAGTACTAAACCTTCTCTTAATACTTAAGGAAAAAAAATCTGAGACAACAGCACATGGTTGAAAAACCATGTGGCTAATTCTCAGAACACCTAAATTAAACTCTGCCACCTTTGAGGCCTTGGTTAAGTATTTAGCATCTCTGAAACTATTTCCTCTCCTTGTAAAATAGAAACAGTAGTGATACAAGAGATCAAACATACCCCATAAGGTGGTGGCCCTGGACCAGCAACATTATCAACATATGGGAATTTGTTTGGCAGATTTGGGGTCCCCACCTCAGACCTACTGAATCAGAAACTCTAGGGATGGGGTCTAGCAATCTGTTCTAACAAACCCTCTGGGCGATTCTGATACATGCTGTCATAGGGGGTTTGCCTTTGACTCAATAAGACTGTGTAACGTAAAGAATGGTGCTAAAAAAAAAAAAAAACTTATGCAAATGTTAACTAGTACCATTACGAACACCAAGTGTGGTGCAATTTAATGCAGTCCTGCACTCAAAAGTTACTGTGGCCTTTCTGGTTGCTTACTCCTAATGGCCTCGGACCATTGTGCTGAAGGAAGAACTAGGGAGAATTCAAAAGAAATGCCTCTGCTCTCAAGAGTTCTTCAGTCTCCTCCCTCTGCTGTCAGCTATCATTTCTCATGAGGTCAGTGAGTCCTGCTTCTCTCATCTACTGCCTTACACACAGTTGTTCTGAGCCACTGCCTGAGGGCAATTCTGTCTTTCCTACGGAATCAAGTCCTCAGCAGTTTGCAGCTTCAAGCCTCTGTAGTTGCCTTTTTCCAACTTATGTTCTGAATGGTTGAGGCTGCCATCAGTCCAACCTCTGGATAAGAGGTGATATTATGGCATAATAAACATATAGATGTATCTTTTACATAGAAATATTTGTATATCTATGGCCCCAAAGCAGTGCCTTCTACCTAATGAATATACAACAAAAATGTTCAGTTTAATAAGTAAATGAGTGTGTGTGCATATGACAAAGGTAGGTATACAGACAATACATAGTTTCACTCTGACGATTCTAACTCCTGACTCCCAGGCGTGGGTCTAATCAACCCAAGTCCATAAACACTTCTGGGAAAACAATGCCAAGGACAAGAGTTAATGGGAAGGCATTAGAATCTTCTTCATAGGAAAAGGACAGTATCTATACTTGTGTGGTAAAACAGGAGAAAACATTGTGCAGCATTAAATATAGGCGCAATTACTAATACGATTCTGTCCCCGGGGCACCTGGATGGTTTAGTCAGTTAAGTGTCCAAGTCTTGATTTCAGCTCAGGTCATGATCTCACAGTTCATGGGTTCAAGCCCCGCATTGGGCTCTGCTCTAAAATGCAGACCCTGCTTGTGATTCTTTCTCTCCCCCTCTCTGCCCCTTCTCTGCTCATTCTCTCTCTCTCAAAATAAATAAACATTAAATATATATAAATGATTCTGTCCCTCCTGTGTACAGTCGTTTTGGTTAAACACTGCTGAGCCTATTAGCTATAGGCACAGAACCTCTTTGACCCGAGGATAGGGTCCCCTTAAGACAAGTGGTTACTGCTCCGTGGCTTGACTCCTGGAGATGTCCAGGGCTCCCATTGAAAAATCTGGCACTATACCCCACATTCTGTCAGCACAACCCATCTCTCAAGAGAAATGTTGTCTATTTGCCTCTGCTCTGACCTTGGCCTAACTCCTGCCCCACTATTCTGCTCAGCCTCTACAGCTTTCAACCAAGGCTTAGGACTACAGGACTTCCTCTTCTTGCTCTGTTGGCCACAGCACCAAATTTCATTCCCTGTTCTCCAATAAAGAATCCCAGCTTCACTCCTGCTCCCTACCTCAGTTTCCCCGTGATGACCCTCCCTTCAGCAAACCAGCACTCCTTGGTAGTTGAGCACTCACCAGCCCACCTTCCTTGACTCTCTAAGTGGACCAGCCAGGCCCATGTCCACAGTGTGTGGCCAGGCCTAACCCAGACATTCAGCTTGGGACAGGCTTCTACTGACTTCAAACTCCATTGCACAATGCTCAGTATTCAGTAGGAGCTCAATTAATGTTGCTGTCTGCATGAAATTTCAAAAGTTTAGGATGCTGATTCTCAACTAAAATCAGAAATCTGCTCAGGGAAAGGAAGTCAACGCTGTCCTGAAATAGTGATGTGATCAGCAGAAATTCCACAACATCAATCAAAAGAGTTCATGGCAAGTAGTCAGTGAACCAAGTAAAGTGACCTTTGGGCCCCCTCCCACTCCTGCCCCACTCCATATTCTTGTTAGCTGCTGTTGATTGATGGCTTCCTAGAAAAGATGATCCATCATTGTTCAGATGAGCAAAACTTCTACCACAACTTGCAGGTTATTCCAGCATTTTGTAAAAATGAGACAAAATATAAAGTCTAAAAAAATGCCAACTCATGGGAAAAGAGGAAAAGCTCAAAACAGCATGGTATTGCCAAGCATCAGTGAAATTTACATGGATAAAAGATGGATGGATTTTTTTTTTTATACATTATGTAATGTAGGAGATAACCTATGTTTCAAACACACAGAAGGCCAGTGATATGGTTTTTAATTCCATACTGGAAAATTGTTCACAACCAGGATAGTTACTGGGAAAATTAAGTGCCCCCAGCTAGTATCAGCTACCATGGAAATTGAGCTCTTATTTGTGGCAGGCACTGTGCTAGCTGCTTTACATATGTTCTCTCTTTCCATCTTTATTACTGTAAAAGGTAAAACTTTTTTTTACCAACCAAGGTGGACTTGCTCACAGTTACAGAGCTGATAAATGATAGAACCAAATTCAAACCAAAGGAAGCCTAACTCCAAAGCCCATATTCCTTCAATATGCAGTTCTTCTCCCTACCTCCCAAAATTTC